ACTTTCCTTTTCACTGTTCTGTCCAGGACACACATTTCACTCTTATTAGGGCAGCGTGTCTCGGGCATCCCATGAATGCCTTCATCCTTAATAACATCATGTTGACATGAGTTCTCTTCGAGGTCGGTCCAAGTTCTTTCATCATCGAAGTCGATTTTACTCATACTTAGAGATGAGGATCTTCTTGAGGACTCAGACACTTCATGTTTTATGCTTTCTATTATGATAGACTCATCACTACTATCATCTTTATCAGACAAATCCAGATCAACGTCTCTTCTTTTATCTTGTTGAGTCCTGGTGTCCCTAAAAGGCCCCCTGCCATCGCAGACTTGTGGACTATCCTCTCTGCTGCTGAAACCCCTTTCTCTGTCCTCAGTCAATGGTTTTATGGTAACATCAAGCTGCTCCTCAGAGTCAGAGCTACTGTCACTGTTTGTAACACCTTCATCATCGCTTGCATTCCATCGAGTCTGATTTTCAGCAGTGCTCTTTTGGAAGGCTTTCTTACTGACTTCGCAAGACGGTTCCCTCAATGTGTCAGGTGAGGACACTGAGCCAAGCTGTATGCGGGTGACCTCACACTCACTCTTACTCTCACGTGCAGTGTGGTCCAGCTCCTCACTGCGGTTACACTGAATTATGGGATCTGCCGGATTTGTCTTCTGCTGCACAGCTTTGACAGGGGTGGAAGACATTCGGCGACCTCTGCAGATCTGCTGATCCCTTTCTAAGATTTTCAGCACAAATGAGGAATTACTAGAAAATGATATTTCATCAGCAGCTTTTTCTAAAAACAAAAATTCATCTAATTCCAAATTTTCCTTTTCTTTTTCTCGTTCCCAATTCTCTAACTTTTTCTGAAGAGAAACGTCAAGAGAAGATTCCACCTCTTTCATGGTCTCACTTATCGATCTCTTAGAAGCCACACAGCTGACAGGCCCTGTCGAAAGAGGAAGCCTGTCTTTACTTTGTGTCTTATTCCACACTTTGCAACCAGTATCACAAGGTTTTGTACACTCAGGTACATTTTCTTTATCATTAGATTCAACTTTGTTTTCTAATTTGATCCGGTCTCTAAACTGTCCATCACATTTCTTCGAGGTCTGTATTTTCAATCCTGATGGAGAGAAATTTTTCCTATTATTACTCTTAAGCACTTTTGGCTTCTGACTGAGGGTGACAGAACCACTCTTGGTTCTAGATTTATTGTCCTTTTTAACAGTAGGGTGCTCTGCACACAGTTCTTTATTTATAAGAGCAGTTTTCCGCTGGAATTGTCTGTCTATTTTCAACAGAGGTTGGGCCTCTGAAGTGCTCTGGCTAGTCACTAGTTTGCTCTCTTTTCCTTTTTGAAACTTAGATTTAGCATTAGTAAATCTAGCTAAACCTTCTCCTCGTTTTAAGAATGGTTGTTTTGGTTTTGCTTTGATTAGCAATGGTCCTTCAGCATCCTAAAATAAAAGGACAATATTTGAATTAATTCTGGTATACCCCGTAATCTCAAAGCTATTTTTAAAGCAAATTACAAATAAATCTCTAAAGCCTTAGAATTATCGAATCAAAATAGTGCAAATGCTAACCCTTAGCTGTTTTTGTTTCAGTTCTTGTTCTTCCAACCGAATTTGTTCTTCTAAGAAGTCTTCGAATGTCTGTTTCCGTTCTCTGATAGCAGCTTTGATAGGCCTAATCATAAAAACAATTATTTAACCTGCAAATCATAATGTGTGAATAGTTTACACTTAGTGTACCTGATATAGACACCCTTGACAATACTGAGAACTAACCTTTCACAAAGTCAGGGACTCCCTTTGAGAATCTAACGAAAGCTACAATCCCCTCCATGCTCGAAATACAGAAATATACAACACTCTGCACGTGAATGAGGGGTCCTCAAGAACCCTTCTGAAGTCCATCTACTAACTGTAGATTAATTTTTGGAGTAACATACTTATTATGTAACTTTAAAATATATTTCAAAACTAGTTCATTAAGTATGCATGCATTTTTTAAATTAAGAAAGGTCCTTACAATGGAAGTAGAGCAACTATCAGAAATGTCATTTTGTCCATACCATAACATACATTAAAATATTTCAAAGGTATAATAAAATAACAACCTATTTAAAAGATGAAATACTTTATTTTTGCCATAACATTTTTTAATTCCATAACTAAACTATTCAATTATAATTTATAAATGACACCAAATGTGAGACTCCAATACTTAATTTTTCTCTTCTACAAAATAGGATTCGACTATTTGAGAGATTAATTTTACACAGATGTTTTTCTTAAATGAAAAAAGTTTACTCAATTCTTCCAATGCAATGTCAAAGCTACTTTGATGTTCCTCCTAATCTTTCTTTTGTCAACAGTATCTGATAAGTTGTACCTTCAACCTTATACTTAAAAGCATATTCAAGAGATTGACTAGTGACAACATGGTACATTAAAAAAAAGCATATTCAAGCAAAAACAAAAAAAAGCATGGATCTTTCAAACAAAGAAAGTACTCAATAATAAAGACCAGCTATTATATTAAACTGTCACAGTTCTTATTCCTTTCAAGATGAACAATACCTTTCTTCAATATTAGCCACTTCTGAGGAATCACCAATTTTTTTTAAGTTCATATCATTCCCTTCCTGAATTTGTTCTGTCATTTTCTCCCAACATGATAAAATGCCTTCTCCTAGGATAAAAATGAGGAAGAATTTAGTTTAAAAAAAACAGATTAAAGTGTTAAAACATGAGAATTTTACAAGTTACTATGCTAAAAAGAATTTTAATTAAAAGTAAAGTATGCCAAAGATTTGAGAACACTCAAGGATTTCTTTAACATGATACAGAGAAACTACCAAACCCAATTAAGACACTTGACATTCTTCAAAAGTTAGTGCAATGAAAAAAAAGTGTGGGCTCTTCTAGTGTAAAAGGGATTAAAGAGGTAACCAAGCATAATGCATGAATCTGACTTGATCTGCATGAACTTGATTGGATTCTGGTTTTTTATAAAACATCTTTAAAAACCATTTTTGGAATAATAGGGGGAATTCCCAAATGGACTTGAATACTAAGTAATTATTGTTAATTTCCTCAGGTATGACAATGGCACTGTGTATATATAGATGAATGCCCTAATTTTTACTTGATGCATACTGAAATAATTGGAATGAAGTAACATGATGCCTACATGTTACTTTCTGTGAAATGGTTTACCAAATTACACACATATAGATATACAGGTACAGATATGGATATAAATACAGATAAACACACATACATATATTGAAAAAGTAAACAGGGGACAATATTAACTGCTGAATTTAGGAAGTGGGTATATTAGAAATCATTGCAGTGGTCGTTCAACTTTTCTGGATATTTGAAGTTTTCCAAAATAAAAAGTTAAGGAAGTATATCGTATAAAAAAAAGAAAAAGACATTTGAGCTTTCCATACCAAGGAATAAACTCTAAATTGGGAATAGGGCATTATGCACAAAGGTGCCCAATCCTAAATAGTAAGTATAGAAACCTTTTGTTATACTATTTGTATTTTCCTATAATTTAACTCAAAGGAGCACACTCATGAAAACGCCATTAAAATTAAAAATTAAATTTTAAAATACTGGAAACAATTTTGTCCTACTACGAAGAACATAAAACACTAATATTTCATGGCTAGCATAATAATCACAACCACTAAAATTATGGTTATGAAGACTACAGAACATGCTAATAAGAATTTTTCATGTTGAGTAGGAAAAGGACACAATATTATTATACAAAATTTTACGATTACAACAATGTAAAAAAAAGGGGGGGCGGTTTGGAGGAATGAGGCAGGAACAGGACTTAAAAAATAGACTAGAAAAAAATACCCCGAAAATGCCCAGTGAGCTCCATGAGTTCATAGCATCAAACACTGGGCACCAGTTCTCTGGCAGGGATATGCTGGGTGCTAAGAATACAGAAGGGCAGTGAAGACAACCCGAGTGTCTGGGTTAGAGGGGATTTCTTTTATGAGCAATTAACTCCCATCCCAATCTATTTCTCACATTTCACATCTCCCACCAGGTCCCCCACCACGAGCACACACATTTTTAAATTAACCCCAAGCTATTTCTAAACTCTCAAAGAAAAATGGTACATCTAGAAGTCGCTGCATCCCTTTCTAAAGACCCCATGCTACCATACAAAGTTTGAAGTTAACATGAGCATGGCAATTGTTCTCAGAAAGTCAAATCCTAGTCCAGTTCTGGGTCCAAGCCAAACTCAGCAGCTGTGTGGCATGTGGGACCTTACAATTAAAGCTATAGGAGACAGGAAAAAAACAAAATGCAGAAAGAACGAGGCACAGTGGTGAGCACCTATAGTCCCAGCTACTTGGGAAGCTGAAGCAGGAGGACTGCTTCAATGCAGGAGTTCAAGTCCAGCCTGGGCAACATACCAAGACCCTGTCTCCAAGAAAATACAAAAAACACAAAAAAACAAAACCAAAAAAACCCCACAAAAACCAATACAAAATATCATAAAATAAAGAACACGCAGAAAGGCCTTCTCTTGTCTTACGACAACATGGTAACACGGTTAGTCAAGTACAGAAGAAAGAAACATAAGTAATTCACCTGAAGGATGGTTATGGTTTTCTTCCTTCAAATCATTTTTTTTCACAAGTGCTTCTTGATACTGTGGACTTTTTGAAGTTAAGACAAAATCTTGGTGAGTAGTTATACAGAAATTGTTTTGTTCATTGGATAAAATGTTGGAAGAGTGTGTTTTTTCTTGGGTTTGATTCGGGAAGACATACGTTGGAGAGAAGGGTGTGGCTCGCTCTACCATCCCTGAATTTCCTGGAGATCTGTGCTTCTGATCATCAGGCGGTAAAGTTAAACCTTGCAATTAAGAAAACCAACAAAGCTGATGACATCCTTCCACATTTTCTCTTCTCTGCCCATTAGTGACCCCATCCCACAAAGTCTTCCCCACAATGATAAAAGTATTTTTTTTTCTCCTTATTAGGAAAGCGCGTTTAACAAAATCATGAAACTTTCAAATTCCAAAGTGAACTTCATATAATTTTAAGTAAGAGTATATTGAGACTAGACTTTCTGTGCAGACAGCACGAGCACAGCAGAGCTGCAGCACCACCTAACTCCAGAAGGCCATTCCTGTTCCCTCCGTGAGAACACGCGGGTGTCAACTCTGCAGCCCTGTGACTGGCGCATTGGACACAGAGCACCGATGCAGATTATGCTGCGAATGCTCTGAGTGGTTCCCTAATAACCAATAACTGCCCTTTACACTTCATCAGGTGGTGGAATTATGGGTGACTTTTCCTTTTTGCATTTTTCTTTAGTTTCTAAGTTTTCTGTATTACTTTCGGTTTCTTAAGTCTCTGCTTTTGAAATAATGCAATAAACAGAGAAGGTGCTCCTTCTCTGCATCTCGAAATCACACTTCTTAGAGGGCAGCTGTTCCGCCCGGGAGCCCTGCTGCTAGCCCTCAGCTTTCCCGGGTTGTCTAGTCTAAATTTCGAAGTGAAGACACAGTGGGAAGTGATTTATACAACAGCCACTGCCACCTGTCACTCATCTACCTCACCCCAGCCCAAAAATAAAAGGGGAAAATCAGGCAGGGCCTCAATGAACATCGGCTTCAACCTCTTGTCCTTCACAGCAACACCTTCCCCGCGTAAACATTTTTGACCAACAGTCACCCCACTTCAGCCTGCAGAGGTCTCTGATGAAGCACCGTTCTCCAAGTGTGGTCTGTATGCTGTTGCAGGTCTCCAAGCCTTTTTCAGGGCATCCACCAGGTCAAAATTATTTTCACAGAACATGCACTGCTGGTGCCAAAGGAAAATGGAAAACTGCTGGAGCCTTTGCTCAAAGCTAGACAGCAGCGCCCGAGTCCTAGCGGTCACCGTATTTGTCAC